AGGGAGCCCGACATGGGACTCGATCCCAGGACTCCAGGATCATGACCTGAGCCGAAGGCAGTCGCTTAACCAACTGAGCCACCCAGGCGCCCCAAAAAGTATTTTAAAAGGTATATATATATATATTTGTAAAGATTTCATTTATTTATTTGACAGAGAGAGACACAGCGAGAGAGGGAACACAAGCAGGGGGCGTGGGAGAGGGAGAAGCAGGCTTCCCGCAGAACAGGGAGCCTGATGCGGGGCTCGATGCGGGGCTCGATCCCAGGACCCTGGGATCACGACCTGAGCCGAAGGCAGACGCTTAATGACTGAGCCACCCAGCGCCCCAAAAGGTATATTTAAGGTATTAAAGTTATTTTAAAAATACCTAAATCTTAAAATACTTATTTGTAAAGTATTATACCTTTAGAGAAAGAATTACTATAGAGGTTGATTTGTAAATTATGCATTACATTCTGTATGAAAGTGGTTTTCTATAACTTTATTCTTTAAATAGTGACACTTAAAATGCCTTAAATACAAAATAGTCTGGATAAAGGGAAAAAGGTGGCAGGAGAACTTGAGTGTTTGAATTAGAAACAATTCCTGTCTAATGAACCGACTCCAAACTTGTTTAATGATGGATTTTAGCTTTGGTGGTGATCAGAGGAAAAGCCTTTTCCTGAACAGAAAAATAAGTCAGTGGATTTTTTATGCAGACTCAGTATTATGCAGCTTTACCACAAGGAGAGGAAGGAGACAGCTGATCAGGGTATAAGAAAAGGTGACTTAAAGCCTTTTTGGATTAGGTATCAACCACTCTTAAGAGGTCGGTTTATCCAGGCAGTCAAGCCGAGGAGAATTGGCACAAACAATCCAAAATGAGAGTAAACCAACCATGGATTAATGCTTATGTTTAGGTCTCTTAATGACGTATGGAAGCATATTTGAAGAGCTAAAGGGCATGTAATCAGTGTAATTTGATTCCACATTTATTAAGCATTTTATGGTACAGAAATAAGGCATGATCTGTGCTCTCAAGAGTTTCACAATCTAGTGATATAAAAATCACAAATAGTAAAAAGAAGGTATGTTTAGTAATAACCCCACCTTATCTCACTACCTTCCTTAGTCTGACCACCTTCTCCCTTAAATACTTTCAAAGGAGTTCCTTCTAATTAAACTTTTCAAATAAAAAACCCAAGCTGTCCTTTCAATTATGGTTATGTTACCTTTTATATTAAAAGGCCAAAGGGTAACTGATTGTCTTAAGGGAAAAGCTCGTCTTAGGCAATGCCATGCATGTAAGACTCTTGCCCTGCTTATAACCTACAAAGTCAAGTAAATGCAAGCCTCTTTCTGGGTTTTAATGGACTATCCTGTGATAATAGACATAAACGTCTGCCAACTACAACAACTGCAATAAAAACACCTAGACATTCTGGAAGGATGTTTTCCCAATGAATGACAAAGACCAGACCAAACAACACCGACAGGGTCACTGTGGGTTGTCATCTCAGTCTATCTGGCTGTACTACTTTTTGGCAAGTCACTTGAACGTTGAACTTCTGTCCTCATTTAAAAACCAGTGTAAAGGCATTCAGCTTACCTCACAGGAACAGCTAGTAACAGTAGTTGTGAAGCATTTTACCAAAACCCACTCAGGTCAACGTTAAGTGTAGTAAAGTGGAAGAAAGTATTGCACATTATAAAGCCGTGGTGCATTTTACTAAAACCTACCAAGGCCAACAGAAGTACAGTGTAATACAAGAAATTATTAAATAAGTAAAGGGATAGTGCGGTTGTTCCAGAAGACCTTGGTCCCAAGGTAACTCAGGTCACCCCCTCAAGACAAATCACTCATTATTTCAACATTCGTTATTAGAAGCGTACAGGACTTCGGCCCCACAGCAGTGAGGTGAAAGGCAGGGGGAAACCGTGTGATGACGGGATTTGAGCTTCCTGATGGAGGGACCACCACAAAAAAAAGAGGCGGCGGGACACGGACCGTAGAAAAGGTTGCCCACAGCACCACACACTCGCCTCACCCTTCCGAGTCAGGCATCTCCAAATTCTCAAGCCTCTGGGACCCAGAACCCTGGAGAAAGTGGGGGTGTCCCACAGGGCGGAGATGGGCCCAGAGGGCGAGGCGGGGCGCAGTCCTGGGGTTCGCTCGGAGAGGACGGGGAGTCGGCGGGGAAGGGGCGGGGGCGGCAGTGGGCAGCCGGGCGAGAGGAGGAGGGGCGAGGCGCCGTCGCCGGCCCCCTCCCCTCGAGTGCGCTCCCCTCCCTTCCCATCCCCGGCCTGGCTCCCGAACGCAACCCGCCGAGGCCGGGCGGCTTCAGGGGGAGGCGCCAACTCGTCGCTGCGCCGGGCCCCCGACCGAGCAGTAACGGCGACCCAGAGGGCGGAGCGGATGCGGCTCGGGCCTGCGCTGAGGTAAGGGGACAGGATGGCGTAGGAAGTCAAGAGGGGATGCCGGACTCGAAGCCGGCCACTCTCAGATTCCCCCGCAACGGGCCATTTCTCCCCGCCCTCTCAGTCCGAACTCCGGAACGCGGCTACGGCTGACTAGCAGCCCCCGGGCGTTACACCCCCGCCCAGGCCTAGGGCCGAGGCGTCGCCGCGCGTGCGCAAACCCGCCGGCGGGGGCTGGGCGCGCGACTCTGCGATTGTTACCCCCCAGGCCGCGGGCCCAGGCGGCGCTGCGCGTGCGCGAGCCTCCTAGCTGACGTGGTGGGCGGGACGAGGGTCGCGGCTCGCCTCGCCACCCCGGAGGCTTCGCCGTCTCCCGCACGCGAGGCAGGGCGTCGTTCCGGATTGCGGGGGTGGCGCCTGCCTCAGAGTTTCTCTTTCTCTCCCCATTCTTCGCTCCGCGTAGGCTGCTGCTGTTTTCATTTCGGCCGCCTCGACCCGAGGCTGTTGTCCTGAAAACCCACTCACCTAGCTCCCGGCCCCGAACCTGCTCGCTAGCTCAGTATGATGCCTTCGACCTTGGGTCCTGCTGTCGAGGGACAGCACAGAAAGTTTGGCTAAGCTAGGTGAAGCTGCTGTGGAGGGATGGGAGGAATCGCCGTAAACCTTTAAGCAGGAAGGTATTGCTCTGCTCAGCCCCGGAAATAGAAGTTTTCAGACGCTGAAAACTTTCCAAGTGCTCTGCCTTGGCCTGAGTTGGAAGGCGAGTTCAGAGCGAACTTTTTGTTTTTGCTCTTTGGGAAGTTACATAAAATGGAGCAGTGCGAGTCCAGGACTGTCACAAAATGCATGTCTCGGAGCTGCCTCCTACCGCTCTTGGCGACTTAGCCTTAGAGCTGAATGAACGTGGTAGAGTTCACAAACTGCTTTGGGACGACGATGCTCTTTCCCCCAGACTCAGAACGAGCGTCACTGTTTAATGTTTATTGAGCCTCCTGGCTTCGCACCCTTCTAGTACCAAGTTCAAACTTGGCTTTACATCTTCCTGCGCAGTGGTACTTAGTTAAAGTCAGTTTGGTGACTCCTGAGGCTACTTGGAGCGGTTTTTAACAATGTCATTACTGTGCCTTGTAATCTTCTATGATGAGCTGTTACAGACATTTGTGGGCTGGAATAGAAGAAGCACTTACTATCAGAGAATCTGAGTACTCTAGCTGAAAGGTAACCTCTATTTCCCAGGGCATTAGGCAGTATATATATATGTTATTAAGTAGCAGGTAAAGGCAATTGGAATGATACATTCCTGCACACCCTGCTTCCACCATGCTGGCCTCATTGGGCTTGCTGGGCTTACCAAGTGTTCTTCCACCCTAGGGGCTAGGCATTTGCTATTTCCTCTATGCTCAAAGCTCATTTTCCCCCTCCACCCATATATGTATGGCACCTACCTTAATCCAAGGCTCAAAACAATTGCCATCACTTCAGAGAGGTGACTCATGTCATTTAAAATAGCCACTGCTTTCTCTTTCCAACCTCTTACCCTGTTCTCTTTGGCTTTTTAGCACTTATCACTGTCTGATAATACGTATTTGTATGTGTATGCTCTATCTCCCGCATATTCAGAGCACAGTAGATATTTGTATAAATGAAACTGAAATCTGACTCCAGAAATATTTTGTTCTGAATTCTCAATATGTAGTCGCTCATTCATTCAACAAATATTGAGTGATTACTTCCCATCAGGTTCTCTTCAGGTATTTAGGATATGTCAGTGTACAAGATAGACAAAGATCCCTTCCCTCTGGAGCGTACATTCTAGAAGAGAATGATTGCCAGTAAACATATTTGTTTATCATTTAGAAAATTATAAGAGCTATGAAAAATGAAAAAGAAGAGCAGAGAAAGAGGCCTGAGAGTACAGGTGTGGGTTGCAATGGTTATGGTTATTGTGGGTCTGAAGGATAAACTGAAGGTGATGTTCAAGACAGAACTAGGTTTTCAAATTATCTTTCTGGGAGAAAATGTTCCTCGCCATTCTCCACTATAAATTTGATGGGGGCCCACAGCATGACCATTGTGACAAATAAAACCTTATTTTATAGTATATAGGTAAAACATTTTTTTTCCAAATTGGGTTCAAATTATTCAGAATTTTACAGTTTAACCTAATACATCAAATGAAGAGACTGGGCTCTTAAGTGGAAGAGACTAACCAAATGACTACTACAGATGTGTTGAGAAAAAGTGTCTATTTTCTGCACGTATTACTGTACTTTGCAATTGCTTCTTAATGTCTCTCTGACTGTGATTAGTGAATTTTTTTTTTTAAGATTTTATTTATTTGACAGAGAGAGAAAGTACAGGCAGGGGGAGCGGCAGGCAGAGGGAGAGGGAGAAGCACGCTCAATCCCAGGACCCTGGGATCATGACCTGAGCTGAAGGCAGACGCTTAACCGACTGAGCCACCCAGGCGCCCCTTGAAGTTGTTTTCTAAGAGTGGTCAATTGCTTTTCTTTATTTGCAACTATGTTGAAGGTTCACCTGGTATGATGTCATGTGATAAGGTATTAAATTATTGCTGTTAGAGATTTCTGAAAGAACCAGACAAGACTTAGAGAAAGAGGCTAATAGAGAGGAACAGTTTTAGAAAGTAAAGTGTGTCTTTTGGGCCCTTTACTTAAGTAGATTACAAACACTATGTTAAAATATCAAAACTATTAATCTGGTACTATAAATATAAGGTACCTATGGGGGTTTGCCTAAGCCTTTAGGAGTTTGTCATATTTAATTTTGGTTTTATCACTTGGTTAAAGTGAAATTAAAATGCCCCTAAGATGCCACTATTTTTGAGGTTTACTGGAGTTGAATTAGTATAGATCAAAATTGACCAGACAAGAGAGATTTGAGACCAGGAGTGGAATTATCAGGGTAGCAGAATGACATCAAAGACTCCTGTTTGAGGCTGAAAATAGAGGACTACATGGGGATATTTACTTCAAAGGAGCAGATAGTTTGCCTCTCTGGAAGGGATATTTATAGTATCCTTCGGTGGAAGGCAGATATCCTTCTCACTTTCATTATCCGGAAGGAATACGTGTCTAGTTCACATGCTGATCCCATCTTAACAATATAAGAGTTTTTAGGAAATTTAAGGCATAATAGTTTTTTTTTCAACATATATCTTATGTGTGTGTCTTATGTGTCTTCAGACTTGCTAATCTAACCTGAGCTAGTATCTATTATGTATATCTCTCCTTGGAAGACATTTTGAGGTAACAAGTACCAGTGGATGACAGGTAGTAAGTAAATCATAAATAGTGATCACATTATAATATGTTCTGTATTACATTGAATGTTTATGATAACTGAACAAAATGAATCCCAAATGGAAATGAACCAAGGCTAAGAAAGCCTACCATGCTGAAGGAATGTTGTGGGACAAAGATCTTTCACAATTAGGATTTTATTTCATAGGCATGTTAGGATTTTTTTTTTTATTGTACTAGAGCTATAAGGACCTAAATTTCAAATGGATTTACAAATTTCTCAAGTACTAACTCATTTTAGCTAGCTTAACAACATAAAAACATTCATATAGTTTATGTTGATAATTTTTCATATTTGAAAAAGGTACTTTTGCTGTGTGTGTTTGAAAAGGCTAACTTTGATGAGCTCAGTAATCTCTTCAAACTAATACAAGTTTGCTTGGGACTGAAGATCTGCCTCATCTCTCTTGGTGAAATTTGGAAACCTTTTTACGAACATAATTAAAATAGCAATGATGTTTCTGTGTTCTAAGTCAGTTTGATGCTTATTATAAACCTGGCAATATCATTTCCTTTGAGGTTGTACCTTTGTTTTAGTTGTGCTTTTAGTTTTTCAGTTTTGTCCATCCTGTTTATAATTGTACCACATTAGTTAGCAGCTGTGTAGGTATTTTTACTGTTATTTGTAGTAGGCTTATGACCTCTCATTCAAGTAGAGGTAAATTATAGCTATCATCCTTTTTCACAAGTGGTAATTGGGATCATGTTTTCTTATATTTTTATCATTCATAACTTACAGATGACATACCATTTAATGGTTCAGCTAGCATATGGTTGGGAATCATCATTACCCCATTGACAGTTACTTGGTCTGGAGTTCATTAACACACCGGTGCTGCAAACTGTGCTGGCATCCTAAAAGACATTAGTTTTCTTTAATATCCTATTTCTTTGTTTATAAAAGCATCATCAACTGTATTGCTCAGATCAGAGAATTTGTTAAAAGCATTGAATTCTATATTGCAAGAAAACTTTTTTATATATTATATTTTTCAAGCATAGTTTTAGAGTTGACCTCATATTATTAAGTTGAATTAATTATGTATATTTATATATAATAATTCATTTTATATAATGTAATAATATAATGTATAATAATATATAATAATATAATAAACAAAATATTTAGATATTTATATACAATAATATATATATATAACACTGGGTTTTCTTTGCAGAAATTACTATTTTTTTTTCACTTCAGGGATTACTTTTGAAGAATGGTTATTAGCATTTAGAAGTTCCTGGTTAATTGCAAAATATCAATTTCCATGGAAAATGCTTTGTTCTCATAGATACAGGGTGTCTAAGTTATTAGATCTTAAGGCCCACAAGTGCTGTTGTGTTGGAGTAATGTTGACACAAGCACCTGGGAGGTGGATATCTTTTTGCTCCACATTATTTTGTTTTCTCTTTTATGTAAATTTGCTTTCAGCTTAGTACCTACTACAGGCACCAGATCAACATTTGTTGAATAAATTAGGCAAATGAATGTATGTCCTATAATCAGCTTAACTCTTTATTTGGGTCAGAGGTATTACCAAGTAATATGACACATTATCCTACTAGCAAACACACTGATTAACATTGATTACCAACAATAACATGTAGAGGCTGCTTATTATATACGTTGTGTAGGAAACTGAATTATTTGACCTGTTCTTTGAGAGGATTCAGAATTGATATGTTTATCATAAG